ACTGTCAGGCATATATTGGGTAGAAACCCTAACCCTAGCACCTCATCATTCATGTTTCTGTTGAGATTCCTGACATCTGCGTCTGTCTAAGAAATCACCCAGTTTTACATCACTGTCGGACATATATTGGGTAGAAACCCTAACCCTAGCTCCTTATAATTCATGTTTATGTTGAGATTTCCTGACATCTGCGTTTGATTCAAGAATAACCCAGTTTTACATCACTGTCGGACATATATCGAGTAGAGATCCTAACCCTAGCTCTTCCTGATGCGGCCAAACGGTATGTTAGCAAACAATTACGTCTGCAGTATCCAAATAGGGTTGTTAAATATCTGTTGCGGTATCAGACTTGACATATATAACCTAAACCTAGCCCTTCCTGATGCGGCCAAACGGAATGTTAGCGAACCATAATGTCTACAGTATCCAAATAGGGTTGTTAAATATCTGTGGCTGCATCAGACTTGACATATGTAACCTAACCCTAGCTCTTCCTGATGCGGCCAAACGGTATGTTAGCGAACCATAATGTCTACAGTATCCAAATAGGGTTGTTAAATATCTGTGGCGGCATCAGACTTGACATATATAACCCAACCCCAGCTCTTCCTGATGCGGCCAAACGGTATGTTGGCGAACCATAACGTCTACAATATCCAAATAGGGTTGTTAAATATCTGTGGCGGCATCAGACTTGACATTTATTACCCAACCCCAGCTCTTCCTGATGCGGCCAAACGGTATGTTAGCGAACCATAACGTCTGCAGTATCCAAATAGGGTTGTTAAATATCTGTGGCAGCATCAACGTTGGAATATATAACCTAAACCTAGCTCTTTCACATGCGGCCAAACGGAATGTTAGCGAACAATAACGTCTGCAGTATCCAAATAGGTTTGTTAAATATCTGTGGCGGCATCAACGTTGGAATATATAACCTAACCCTAGCTCTTCCTGATGCGGCCAAACGGTATGTTGGCGAACCATAACATCTGCAGTATCCAAATAGGATTGTTAAATATCTGTGGCAGCATCAGGCTTGACATATATAACCTAACCCTAGCTCTTCCTGATGCGGCCAAACGGTATGTTGGCGAACCATAATGTCTACAGTATCCAAATTGGGTTGTGATTTATCTGTGGCAGCATCAGACTTGACATATGTAACCTAACCCTAGCTTTTCCTGATGCGGCCAAACGGTATGTTGGCGAACCATAACGTCTGCAGTATCCAAATATTGTTGTTAAATATCTGTTGCGGTATCAGACTGACATATGTCACCAAACCCTAGCCCTTCCTGATGCGGCCAAACGGTATGTTTGCGAACCATAATGTCTGCAGTATCCAAATTGGGTTGTGAAATATCTGTGGCGGCATCAGAATTGACATATATTACCTAACCCCAGCTCTTCCTGATGCGGCCAAACGGTATGTTGGCGAACCATAACGTCTGCAGTATTCAAATAGGGTTGTTAAATATCTGTGGCGGCATCAACGTTGGAAATTATAACCTAAACCTAGCTCTTTCTGATGCGGCCAAACGGTATGTTAGTGAACAATAACGTCTGCAGTATCCAAATAGGGTTGTTAAATATCTGTGGCAGCATTAACGTTGGAATATATAACCTAAACCTAGCTCTTTCACATGCGGCCAAACGGAATGTTAGCGAACAATAACATCTGCAGTATCCAAATAGGTTTGTTAAATATCTGTGGCAGCATCAACGTTGGAATATATAACCTAACCCTAGCTCTTCCTGATGCGGCCAAACGGTATGTTGGCGAACCATAACATCTGCAGTATCCAAATAGGATTGTTAAATATCTGTGGCAGCATCAGGCTTGACATATATAACCTAACCCTAGCTCTTCCTGATGCGGCCAAACGGTATGTTGGCGAACCATAATGTCTACAGTATCCAAATAGGGTTGTGATTTATCTGTGGCAGCATCAGACTTGACATATGTAACCTAACCCTAGCTTTTCCTGATGCGGCCAAACGGTATGTTGGCGAACCATAACGTCTGCAGTATCCAAATATTGTTGTTAAATATCTGTTGCGGTATCAGACTGACATATGTCACCAAACCCTAGCCCTTCCTGATGCGGCCAAACGGTATGTTTGCGAACCATAATGTCTGCAGTATCCAAATTGGGTTGTGAAATATCTGTGGCGGCATCAGAATTGACATATATTACCTAACCCCAGCTCTTCCTGATGCGGCCAAACGGTATGTTGGCGAACCATAACGTCTGCAGTATTCAAATAGGGTTGTTAAATATCTGTGGCGGCATCAACGTTGGAAATTATAACCTAAACCTAGCTCTTTCTGATGCGGCCAAACGGTATGTTAGTGAACGATAACGTCTGCAGTATCCAAATAGGGTTGTTAAATATCTGTGGCAGCATCAGGCTTGACATATATAACCTAACCCCAGCTCTTCCGGATGCGGCCAAACGGAATGTTGGCGAACAATAACGTCTGCAGTATCCAAATAGGGTTGTTAAATATCTGTGGCAGCATCAGACTTGACATATATAACCTAACCCCAGCTCTTCCTGATGCGGCCAAACGGTATATTAGCGAACAATAACGGCTGCAGTATCCAAATAGGGTTGTTAAATATCTGTGGCAGCATCAGGCTTGACATATATAACCTAACCCTAGCTCTTCCTGATGCGGCCAAACGGTATGTTGGCGAACCATAACGTCTGCAGTATCCAAATATTGTTGTTAAATATCTGTGGCAGCATCAGGCTTGACATATATAACCCAACCCTAGCTCTTCCTGATGCGGCCAAACGGTATGTTGGCGAACCATAATGTCTGCAGTATCCAAATATTGTTGTTACATATCTGTGGCAGCATCAGGCTTCACATATATAACCCAACCCTAGCTGTTCCTGATGCGGCCAAACGGTATGTTGGCGAACAATAACGTCTGCAGTATCCAAGTAGGGTTGTTACATATCTGTGGCAGCATCAGGCTTGACATATATAACCTAACCCTAGCTCTTCCTGATGCGGCCAAACGGTATGCTGGCGAACCATAATGTCTGCAGTATCCAAATAGGGTTGTTACATATCTGTGGCAGCATCAGGCTTGACATATATAACCTAACCCTAGCTCTTCCTGATGCGGCCAAACGGTATGCTGGCGAACCATAACGTCTGCAGTATCCAAATTGGGGTTAATATTTCGGCCAGGATCAGGCTTGACACAAAACCATACCCGCATGTTCCTATTATTGGCTTTGTTAAGATGCATTTCTTAATATATTCATTGACAGTTTCATGTAACAACTCATTGACTTTTCACTTGTTTGAAGTTGTTTGTGTGCTGTATTGTTGCGAGATTATTAAGTATTTGACTGGTGGTATTATTGCTGAATGCAAAGCTTGAATTGCTTTGAATACTTTTGTTACACATATAGGTAATATGTGTTCTCAACAAAATAAATAAACACATTTTGTAAGTTTTATCTTTTTATTAAGACTAACATTTAAAAAAATAAACAAATCTATGTATGACTGATTTCACTGTTCAAACTACAACAAAATAAACCATAATTGTGAAAAGGTTGAGAAAAGCAGTACGACAACATAGATATAATTGAAACAATATCATTCATCTACAGCAGAGTATTACAGAACAAAGTGTCAGTTTGATTTGAAACATCAGAGTGCCGAGGAAAAACTTCTCGTGCACTGAGTAACCTAGTTGGGCTTGAACCACTTAAATATACAGTCTAAGAGCCAGTCCTACATCATCGGTATCATGCAACATTGATGACTACTTTTCATCACATTTTACTTGGAACCATCTAAAGCAACTTGCAATCGTTGATTAAACATTTCGGGTTTTCTCTCATTCCATTTTGATTGCACCAGAAGGGGAAGAAAACAAAACTTGCTCTGGCTCAAATGAGTTGAAGTTGCTTTGATATTTTGAAGGAACGAATTGAACTGCTCACAGATTTCGGTGTTGACACCCACATTTTCAAATACTGAAGACTTGAAAGAGTCGCCACATACATGCGATCAACCATGGAAATAATCATGGAAGAATCGAGTGTCTTTACAGAATGAAGGTTCTCTATTCAAGCAGTATTCAGAAAGTGAACAAGCAAAGTCATAAAATACATGTGTTGGTGGTTCAGGCAGGTACCTGAACATGGAAGCAAATTGGTCTTTTCTGCCTTCGCTTTCAGGAATTATGTGGAACCCAAGACCATGACCATGAATGGGACAAAACCAGAAAAACAAACTACTGTGTCCACTTGTGCTAACTCTAGGGAAGTCCTTGTTACATCTTTCATCTGCTGCTGGTAGGTAAACATAAATTTTAGTTTTGCTGATCTTGTTTATGTTGTAGATAGGGAGTTTTCTAACCTGTTCTCCACTTTCAGTAAAATGATATGCCACACCACTTTCTGGATTGTAATATTTAGGGATGCTATGTGCATCCTGGTTAGCAGGTCAATATGTAAGCACGTTCTTTGCATAGTCTGCAAGGTACACTATGAAATAATGTATTTCAGCTGCATGTGTGATGTGTAAGAACTCTGCAAAAGATGATGTATTTCGGGCCGAATAAGTTTGACATCTCTAAAACTGACTGGTTCCATCACATGCAAGTACTTCGGGAGATGTACAGAATGGATCTCCAATCTTCCTGAAGTCAGTCTTCATATTAGCTGCCCAGGAGAAAAAACAGTTGTTAAATGTACTCTGAGACATATAACTGGATTCATAGTGTCTTGACGTGTACATACGATCAATTTCTTTGCAGTAAAAGCGTGAATGTGACACTGTCACTTGAAACGCTTGTGATTCTATACAAAAAGTCATGACAAAGTTTAACAACAATGGCGGTTTCTTTGCTCCAAAAATAAATGCTGTCCTCTTTCCCTGTATAACACAGCAAACATTTGCCATTACTGCACTTTCTGCAGCACACAGTTGCCTTAATAGGGGCTAGTGTGGTGTAAAGTGTTGTTTTTGTCCTGTGCTGCTGTAGTAGGTTAATGCCATCTGGTGTTTGTACATCATGGAAGGTGCCCTGAAAAAAAATTAAAGCTTGGTGCATGATTGATAACGCAACAAGGACCAGGGGTAACATCTGAATTGGACCTGTAAATTCATGGATTGTCCTGAGTACATTTTGCGCATTATCTGACCCCCACAGTATACATTCTTCCAGTCATCCTTAATCTTGTAAATGGATCTAAAATATATATATATATATGCCAACATCATTTGTTTGGACAACATCAGACATGAACTGAAAGCAAAGGCTCACAGAGTGACTTGGTTCTGTTTGATAAGGATACAAAAGGTCAAAATGACCTGCAACTGTCAGATAGTTTTTTAAGCTGTTTCTTAACCATGTGCCCCTGGTTGGCAAATTAGGATTTATTTAATCGTTTGGTTAAAAATTAGCATTTTTCTAAAGTACATACATTATGATGCATTATAACATTATACATATATGACATTCAAGTCAATTTGAGCAGGTGTGGATAAATCCCTCCAGTCTCTATGGCTATCAGCGATAAAGCTAACTGGACATACTGTGCTTGGAAATTCATACGTACCCCACATGAACAGTTTTCTGGTAGTGCAGGACAAAGCAAGATATTACTGACAAAACCAGATTCATGTGTTTGGTGCTAAAAGCACCATTTTTCATGCAAGTGGATATTTCTGAAATACAACAAGATATGTCCTAATTAATGCCTTCAAATACAATATGATACACAACATTTTAACAAAGAGCAGCGGAGGAAACAATGTGCACTTGACATGTTTTAATGTTAGGAAACATGAGTAATATTGACTTCAACAGCTTACATTAGAATTTAGATAGTTCCATTGCAGTGTTTAGTATGAAATCTATACACAAATAGTTCAAACAGCAGAGCGATTAAAGATAAAAATACTACTTACTCCCTGTATTTTGGGCAACTCTGAGGAGTTGGAATATGTTTACTTAGTGATCCAAAGTCCCAGAAGCCAGTGTCGACATTGAAGTTTGACTGGTGATGAAAGTGCGAACATTAGCAACAACAAAAAGTGTAGAAATATAAACCTGATCTCAAGTTTTATGAACATGTTAAAAGGAAACAATTCCAAGGATAAAATCAGCAATTGTGACTGACACATTATGTTTATTAATACTAAGAAGAATGGATGCATCAGATGTGAATTTAACAACAATCCACAAAAATCTATCAATCAGGAAATAATGAACCAATTACGATAGTAATTTTACAATACCGGTATATCAATCTATCAAAATATTGCAATTATTTGCCTTATATCGACAGGAATCTAAAAACACCTTGGTTATGTTAATAGTATGCATAAACATTAATAGTTTCAATTAGTTATAGCATTAAAGTTGGTTTACTGCTATGACAATAATATTGCAATAGTCATGACAGTGTGGGCTACTATTACAAAACAACTACAATAGTGAAAATAACACCCAGTAGCCACCCCTAATATATGATATAGGCATTACATGTTAAAGTAGCTTTGGTTCAGATTTTGCTGATAACAAAGCCAGAACAAGCGGAATACTCATGACCCAATACCTACATGTACTTTTCATTATAAGATACAAAAGAAAGGTTTGTTGCATGGTTTGACATACCTTTTCAGTGAATGTAAATGGAGAAGGGATCATCAGTTCCTCAGTGCTCTAAGTTGATGTTGAAGGAATACAGAGTTGTTGGTTTTCTTTCATTGACAATAAATGTGGACAGAGCCTTTGGGATCCTTCTAAGTTCTTTACAGCTTTAGATTTCCAACAGAACAAAGTCCTGATTAACATGAAATAGTCCAGTTATCATTGTTGACATGTACAAATTCAACACTTTCATTTCTTCCTTTTACTGAATATTTGGTTACACGAGGAGATTCTGCAACCAGCACTACTTCCTGATTTTGCACTAACATTGAATCCCTTAACTTTTTATCTTTGTCAGATTCAGGTTGAAATTCTGAATTGAAGAGATTGTGATAATCTTGCAGTACATACGTTTTCACAAACCGGACATGCATGCATGTAACACCTGATGTGTCTAGATAGGTTTCTTCTGTGTCGTCATTTTCAATGTCACTTTCGTGTACATGACCAAGCAGCATCTTGTAAACAGAACAAGAACACTGGACATGTGTTGTATCCTCCTCCTCATGAAGCATTGTCACTTTGCAGTATGACTGGGGCTTGAACTTTCCACCTTCAGGACCATAGTCACTCATAATCAACGCATCCTTTGTAAAGGAATGAGACTGACAGAGAATAGTGCAACCTTCAATGAGACGTGTTGAGAAGTTGTCAAACAGCGATGATGGTTAGGCAACATAAGGAGTGACTATGTGTTCTGAGAGGTTGAGAGAAAGGGCAAAGGTTTCTGGTGTCACTCTCCTCACACGGTTCGCAATTCGTCTTCGTTTCTGTGGAGGCTGCATGGATGTAGTCTGTGATGAGTGAGTGGAGTCCTCACTGTTTCCCTGAGCATGTTGAACAGAAAGCATCTTCACACTTTGTCTATACTTTTCTTGACATCCAATTCTGAAGTGAAATATGTTTTTATTTCTTAAAGAGGTAGGGTAGTTCCTTGTGTCTTCATTGTATGTAGAAGAGTATTGCATGTGATGATATTGATGACAAAATGTGGAACTTTTCTTCAACACTTTTGGGTTTTATTTCTTCTTTCAAGCTGCTGAAGTCCATAGGGTCATCTACAACATGGTTTGCATGGATTCTGTGATCCTTTAGAACTTTCAAAAGTCTATCAGTGTCATGAAGCCCAAATATGTGTAGAGGCCTGTTGAAATAGTCAAATAAATGTGTAACTATCATAGGTGAAGGGAGTACAGTGAAACGATACAGCAGGATCATGATACAATACGTATTGCAATGTGCATATTTACCTCAAATCATGTGGAAACTTCTTGACTATAAAAAAGGTAAAGATAGCTGTAGACATGTTTTACAACGGTTATTTTAATTAGTGAACTTGAAACCCTAATAACAACACATTTCGTGAAATTTGACTGACAAAAATGCATGGTGTCATTTAACGAGCAGTAAGTAATTTATTTTATCAAGTGTCGTTATCGTCTTGAATTGATACATGAAAAATAACGATGCATCGATGCACCAATGTACAGTTTCACCCCAAGAAGGGAGTAGTGAGTGAGCAAGATTGGGACAGTGTGTAAATAAGCAAACTTTGTGGTAAATGAAACTTGATAATATTAGTCAGGTGAGCTAATACAAACACTGACTTTTGTTTATTGCCTATTTGGTTACATTCATAACAGGAGGAGGAGGAGGATGCATAATGATGGCCTGTCAAAGTTTAGCATTTGTGAAATGAGAGTGATAATAGCACTGCTAAGAAAAAAACCATTTATACTGTAACTATGGAACTTGTATATAAAGAATACCTGTCATGAATGTGATTTTCATCTGCATTCTTCTTGACACAGTGGAAAATCACAGATGATACCTGAAGCTTGTTGGATATGTCTTCAGACTGTGCAAGCATGGACAACTTATCAAACACTACTTTGCACATACTGTATCTGATGTTGAAATACTGGCTGTAGCGTTGTCTCGTGGGTCCTGAAAAACAACAACATTGCTCTGATTAACTACAAACGTTTTTAAAAAGTATAATTTGTTCTTATTTTATTCATGGCCAACTATTCTTTATGGTTTAAACATATTTTTATTCATTGAAATGAGTTGGGATTGGTGAACAAGCTTTACAGCTTATGTTAACACCGCTCCCATACACCATATATTACACATTGAAATGAAGGATGTGACGTCATCGATATAGACATTATTTAAATAATATGTTTGTACATATTACATCAAATACAAATACAAAGTGAACATAAATAGAAAGTAACAGCTTGTGTCTGTTTAACAAGTCGTTTGTAACAAAAGTAATAGTCTTTATACTTTATTATGGTTCTACTTAAAGAAACACACGGCTGATAGAAACCCATGAAAATTACAAACAATGAAAAAAACCGATGGTGTATGATGATGCCTTAAACAAACCTAATTAAACATCACAATAAGGTTATTGCTATTTTTCCAAACTAAGTTGGTATATACAATAATTACTTTTTCAATACTTGTCCTCTCATGTATAAATTCATATTTGACATAGATGGCACCAAATGAGAATAACATTTTGTAGAAAATGTTTGTCCACTGTGGTCTTTAGATAACAGTAATGAAACATAACATAGTGATGAAACGTATGGAAATCAGTCTGATAAGATGTAACTGCCAAAAGCAAACTACATTTATCATTAAATGTGAGCAACTATGACAATGATCACAATGAAAATAAACATGCTTACAAAGAATATCAAAAGTATACAACCATAACAACTGCTGTTAAGGTAGTGGTATGAGCATAATAAGAGATGAACATGATGAAGGTCAACATACTTTGAGTTCAATACAGCTACCCCACAGATTACTCAGGGCTTGACACATTGGAGTGCCATACCAGCAATAGAAACTAACAGTTTTAGTCCACTTGTCTTTATAATGATAACATACAGCAGACTTATAATGATAACATACAGCAGAACCCTTAAAAATTGTAAATTTCTACTGGTACTTATAACACCTTAACTAATGGGAAGGTTGCAAAGGACTACATGACTCGAGCAGTTGTATGTAGAATTCAATACTTGGACAACCAAATATGCTCCAAGTACTTATTCAGTGGCAGATGCATCTACAGAGCCAAAATCATTTATTTCCTTCCATGAAGGTTTTCAGAATTTTTGTGGACAAATATAAGCCAGAGACCATGTCTATTATATGGTATCTGTATAAACATAATATCAGCAGAAGTGAATGTTGACATGCATTGTCCTGTGGCTAGTAGATATATTTCAGATTGCAATATTGGTGAATGCAGCATTTAACAAACAAAAAGACAATGATTGCAATTAACTGCTTTTGGATTTAAAAAAACCAGGTTGTGTTTTAGGATTTTCAATTATCTATGGACTTTAAGATATCAGGCATCCATATGGTTAATTTTAGGAACAATCAGTCTGAGACTTTAGCCACTAGTGGGAATCCCGAGTCTATTAAAAGCCTCTTTGGTCTAGTAATGCCATATGATAACACTAAAATATACTGAATATGATGCTCAGAACCAAGTTTGGGCTCGTAGTCTCAAAATATACTGATCAAAAAGGTTTTACACGGTGAACAAGAAAATGCAACAAAGGCAACAGAGGTCTCCCCACAACTAATATCATTACTGAACATATGTGTACAATAAAATACAAATTGATTCATACATGGACAACTGGCTGACAAAGGAACCAGAATTAAATTCAAATTGAGAATTTGTACCAAATTACAAGGCTCAATAAAATGCTTCAAATATATCAAAGATTGTCAACATGCCATTTAAAATGCTTGAACTGACATTTCAGATTGTTCATAACCAGCCATGGCATGTAGGAAAATGTCAAACACTAGCCCATTTTGAGCTAACCTTTACAGCACAATATATTTATCTATATACATTACCATCAGTATGCCCATTCTGTTTCACATGGCTTTTGCTGCCTTTTTCTTCTGTAGAACTTTCTTGTTCGAGTCTTTGTAGGTGAATATTCTGAGTACAGAAAAGATATAATGTGCATTATTCATAAATGCTTTATATTCAGTGCTTCAACACTCATGCTATATAGGCTAGTAAAGTAACACTAAATCAGTCTGCCCCAAACTGCTAAGACTACTACTGGTACTAGTCTGAACTCGGCTCTTAGGATCATTTTCAGTAGAAAGTAGTGTTGCTATATGGACTATTCTTAACTGTGTTTAATAGACCAAACAGAATTTTACTACCATTGGGCTTCCAACTAGTGGCTAAAGTTGCAGACTGCTAAATGCTATACAGATAGATGATAATAATTTTCTCTCTTCATGAAATTGGTATGAATCCATACTATGATAACTGTATTAAAGGACATACAAACAATGAAACAGACATTACTAATACTTAACATCATCACCTATATTGGAAAAGTTGAACGACTGTCGAATCCGATTCCTGAAGAACAGTGGAAATGGATGGCATGATTCCAGAGAAGCATTCACTTTCAAAATAGGACACAAACATCTGACTTCCCTTTGTAAAGGCAATGGAGTAGAAAACGCCTTGTACAACATCTGTGGCCGCAGCTAGGTCTAAGACTTTTCTTTTCATTACTGGGAGTTGTCTATGAGTTGTGGAGACAAAGCCGCTGTTAAAAAGGTCTGAATCCATCATAGCAAAGAAAAGCATGGCTCTGTTGCAATTATTTAGAGTCTCCAACACAGGATCTGCAAATAAACAAATATGCATATATACATAGAATTAAATCATGTCATGTTTTTGTCCTTACGCAACACTCAGCATTTTTTGTTTATAATTAGGCTTGTGACAGTAGTTTGTTTGTAATCTATTATATTAACTTAATCAAAGATATCATTAAATATTGTTTATATAATTTCGGCAAAATCGTGATTGAACTCATATTTTTGAGTTAACAGACTATAAAAGCCCAGTTTCCATCTTTGCCAAACTAGGCTGGAATTTGCTTTTAAGAGTTATGTCCCTTCTAT